CTATTGGTTAACGCAGCTTAGCGAGGAGGAAAACGAGCGCTAGGAGAATCAGTCATGTGAGACTGAGATCGCAGCAGGATCTAAACCATGCTCACAAAACGATGTATCATGCAGCTCTAATTACATAAGCACTGTAATGATTCAGAATTAACTGTGCTTATCTGATGTAGCTTATCGGACTTTTAACATTTAAGAATTATTTAAGAAAATAAGCTAAGCAGAGCCCTTTGCTGTTCACATATGAAAAACTTGAAGAAATTTAACAGCAATAAATATCAACACCAAATACTCTACCAGACTTCATGAATCCAGACTGGAGGGTGATCAGGATGTCGCTTGTAATGTTTGGTACTAAAGTTCCCGCAATCTGGAAACAGTTTTTTTTTTTTTGTTTGTTTCCTTTGCCCAAAATTGTGGGTAGCAAACTGGTCCTCTCAGTTTACTTCATGCCAGCATAGGGAGAACTTAAAGGACAACATACAAGTATGTACACACACAGGATCTGTGGACTAACAAACTCAGCCCAGTGGGATAACTGGGGTCATGGGTCACTGAGGCGACTTCCTGTCAGGGCAGTGTGTGCGTGCATGTACAATAAGGGAGGCTATTGATAGATTAAAAGGGATCTGTGTGAATAGGATTTCTTGGATGAAAAGCCTTCCTGTCATGACCTGAACTGGTAACATAAAAACACACACAGTCTAAACAATCATAGAGATGATGTGAATAATGTAAAAATAAAATGTTTATAACAAGCACATTGATCACTTGAATATGCAAATGTATTCATCTAACTGTATAAATTTCATTTTCCTAGTTCCTTATTACCATGTCTCACCTGGACATCACAGTAAAGAACAGCTTAAGGTTTGTTTGATAGATAGAAGTAGAAATAAAGAAAGAAAAGTCATTGAGATGAATGACTTGTAGTGGCTGACCTTTCTGTACTGCTGGACTGTTCTGGAGGCTGGTGGCCTTGGAGGATAGCTTGGATGAATCAGCGTCAGAGTCTTTGCTGGTGTCTATGGACACAATTACATCTTTCATCCCTGAGGACTTCTCCTGTGAGGACAACAACTCATCTGGGAGTAAAGGGAATACAAGGACAGATGCAGAGAAGGGTGTTGTGTGGGAGAGAAAATACGGCACAGAGAGGGGAATAAAGATCGCAAGAATTAAAAACTAATTTTGTGAGAGTGAAAAAACTAAAGACAAGAAATAGGAAATCAACATAATGATAGCATAGTCTTTATACAAAAGCACCAAGTGACAAAACATCATCTCTTCCTAATGTTTAAAAGTCACTTGAGCAAAATTAGGGGAAGTCATAAGAGAAGTTTTAGAAATATAAAATTTCTCTAAGTACAGATGATTTAATGTACAAGCTTCTCTGGGCTGAAGGGCCTCTGACTGTCCTCAAGGTGGTACAATGCCATTAATCATGTATTAATTGACTGGGCAATTTGTTTCTAGTGGTGCTGGTTGTTGATAGTGATTGGTCAGTTTGTTTTAACAGTGTTTTTACATTATGAGCTGCTCTGACAAGCTCCTGAGTGGAAAAAAAATGTAAAGAGCAATGGCACGTGGTGCAAAAAATGTCAGAAAGAAAAAGAGGAGCGAGACGAAGAGCAACAGTAAAATTTACCAAAGTTAACTGGATAAAGGCTCAAAATGACAACGCTACAAGTGTGAGTCTTGCAACTCAGCAGGTAGCACTGAAATGTTAGCACTGTGCTACCAATAAGTGCCATTAGCCAAGAAACTGTGAGGAAAAACAGTAGTGGCACTACCAGGGCTGAACTCTGACTTAGACAGCTGAGGAAAGTAGAAGAGTTTGGAATGCTTGTAAATTTTGGTTTGTACCTTCATTTGTAAGCTTTCTTCTGCTTTAAAGGTTTGTTTCAGACTTACAAATTTAGGGTGGGAGGCAAAAGAAATTTGCGTGCATGCTTATGAATTTTGGTCACACATACTATATTGTCAAGTTGTGTAAGCAGAGCTTTGTATAAGAATCATACAATCCGTAAGAGGAAAAGGCAGGACGTTTAACTTATGAGCAATCAGCATATGTGGAGCTGCTACAGCCCACACAATTGGTTATGTTGTTCTGTCAAAAGCTCCAATGAGCTTGGAGACATGGGCCACTTCCCAAGTCTCTTATATAATCATTCCTACATCCTCAGTCGACCTGAAAGTCATTTCAGTCACACAAGGATACCACAAGTCTCTTATATTGGCTCTGAGGTGCCATGAGCGATGATACATGAAACCATCCTTACAGGGTTTTTTTTTTAAGAACTGACACAGCCCTTTATAAGAAATCAGTTGGTGATTGGACACTTTAGGCACACCAAGCCAATGGTTGACAGTCGGCCACTGTTGGGCCATATGTGAGCATCTGTCAAGGGTCACCAGTGTGTTGGCATTATTTGGACCCTGCCGGTGGCTGTTTTGGCCAATTTGGCATGCTGAATCAGTGTTGGGCCTTTTGGTGAGACAGACCACTCTGATTGGCTGTTCAGCTTACCGAATAAGTGCATGAGAAGAGAACCGTTTGGGAATAAGTGCATGAGAAGTGAACCGTTTGGGAAAGCCCCCTCAGCCTGTTGCTCTGGTATCCATGATTTCACACATTTAACGTGGTTTCTCCGTTTCTTTTCCCCATTTTTAACCTGGCCTAGATTATAATAAACTAAGCCCTTTTTTGAATATTGGTAAGTTTGGTTTCAGAATTTCTAGCATTCAAGTTTTTGCCTTACATCTGTGAAGAGTTGGTCTGATTTAATACACACAGAAGGGGAAAAAATTGTTGGACTGACAATCTGTTTATTTTATATATGACTTTGGATACATCTGACATATTGTGTTATCTAACAATATTGGAAATATTATATATAAATACTTCTCTGGAAACAAGTTGTGTGTGTACACAAGTGTCTGATACCTTGTCCTTGGATATGGGATACATCCAGTCCCTCTTTCAGCCGCAGAACAACAGCACCAAACTGGAAGTCAAAGGCATCACTGAAACAGAAACAAATAAAAGATACACATCAGCAGTGGGCAAAATGAAAGAGGATATTCTCACTAGCCTTAATAAAGGATGAAGTCACGAAGGCGTGCAAGGAAGACAAATAAGACCTGGTCAGAGAGCTGTACAAAACAAATGCCAGGTTCAAAAACTTTTCTCAGTCCTGCAGTTTGAACCCTGAAATGTGTACACTGGAACAGCCACTCACTGGACAGAAGGTAAAAGGCACATTGTTGAGCCTATTAGCTGTGATTTTAATTTTGTAGGGATAAACCATCTCTGACCTTCAGCTCTAATGCCATAATCCCCACAATTTTCAATAAGGAACTCATTCAGCTTAAGTCCTTCACAGCCTTACATGACAGATACAGCATTCAGCAAGGAAACAGGGCTTCACATTGAAACACATGCTGTACACCTGTATTAATACAAGGACAAGTATAAAGTGGGTGTAGTAGTACCAGTTCCCACTGAACTGTACATTTGTGAGGAATTGTTTGAGTTCTAGAGTTTCAGAGTTAATTCAGTTTAGCTAAGAGAGAATACCGGCCATAGCTGTAATAGTATCTGTGCCCTGGGGCCCCTGACCGTCATGGGGCCTAAAGACCCAAGGTTCACCTTGTTACAATTAATTTGTGGTAATGTAATTTGTTGAAAACATATCTGTTAATAATCCATTCACAGATAAAACATTATCTACTAAAAAGGTAACACCTGAATTATTACATAATCCAGCAGCTCAAATTAAAATCCTGTTTTACATCTTGTAATGTTTCAGAGTATATTGTCCTTACATATTACATAATCCTCAATCACTGTTTAATCATGTTATCAAACTAATTCCCCCTGACAGGCTAATGTGGCCTTGTGTCTGTGACATCACACACACATATCTGAAGCCTATGTGAAAAGGGGGAGGCTGAAGTGGCAACCAATTTTGTTAACTGTGATAGGCTGAGGCTCCTGTATGAATGTCACTTTCAGCTTTTTCCCCATTAGGGGTCGCCACAGCGAATTGTCACACTGACAATTCGCATGTTGACATTTGGCACATGTTTTACGCCAGATGCTCTTCCTGACGCAACCCTGACTCAAACCCGGGCCACAGTGGCGAGAGTGCTGCACCCTAACCACTAGTCTACCTAGGCTGAGGCCTCTGTATATCAAGCAAACACACTCCTAACAATTACTCAACTCACAGAAAAACTGTCTACAGTTTGAAAATTAATGAATGATCCAAGTCATTTCAAGCTAAAATATTAAACATTTTGTAGATTTTGAACATCTTTACCTCAGTCAAGGTTGGGGGTTATGTTTTTTTTTTTTGTTTGTTTGTTTTTTTAACAGCATAACTCAAAAGTAATGAACAAATTTTGATGCAATTTTTTGAAGATGGGAGGGTATGGCCCATGGACCAGTTGATTAGATTTTGGTTCTTTGTAAGTACTAGAAAGGCTATTTACTGTATGTGAGCTCGCTTGTGCCCCAAGTGTGCAGCTGCACTGCTGAGCACCCCAAGCACATACAGAAATAAGTCCCTGGGTTATTGACAGCTGTCCATTCATTGTCAATGGAAACCAAATGCTGTCGCCTAGTCCACTTGGTTGTATGAGACAGGGACTGAAAGGCAACAATCCAGAGCTGGAGAGAGATCTACTCTATGCAGTGACAGCTGGGTGAGTGCCTGATGGCAGAGATCTGGAGCCAGGCTCAGAGCTGTTAGCACTGTCATCCAAAAAACTGGTATTCCACTTTATTTCGTTTTGACTTTTTTCAGGCAACAAAGTGACCACTTAGAATGAGAATATGTGGTCAGTCTATCCAGGTAATGCCAATTTGTTCTGATGTTTTCTGAGCTGTGACCACATATACAATACACGTTTATGATTTATGATTGTGCTTGTTATCTGGCCAAGCTAGCTCTATTAGCAGGCAGCTACATCTTGGTAAGAGCACAGCTGTCTATTGGAGAGGATGCTGGCATTCCAGCTGCACCTAACATCAGTACACCCCGTACTTCTCTTAACTGTCGACCACCATAACCCCAGGGGCTGACGGAGACCATCTTGCTTTTTCTCCCAGTGTATTTTAGCTGTGTTGGTCTGTTTAGAGGAGGGGCTCTGTTCCTCTCACACACACAGCTGAGTAGAGGACATGAAGGATCACTCCACAGTGCAACAATCAGCCAGTAACATAGGCTGCATCAGCAGTTTATCAAACAGCTGCTAAACAGTCATGTTCCATAAATGATGTAACTTTAACTCTGGGTTTTTACAGTCCAGCATTAGCAGAGGCCACTGGTAACTCTTTCCAGGTAGACTTAATAGGTGTCTTCTTAAAGCAAGTCTACTTACTGGATCATACTGATGTAAGTCTCCACATTCATCATGTCACCATCCCTCCAGTCGTTCTTGAAGCCGATCACCAAGGTATTTGGCTTGAGGCGGCCCAGGCCAGCAGCCTTGAAGGGACAGGAATGGAAACCACAATCAATTGAATTCACACCTTTATTTCTTAAAGGCTGGCTACTTTCCTAAGAATCACAGAGCAAGAAGTGGAAACTGAGTGAACCGTTCAGCCTCTTCCTGGTGTTATCATGCCGATTTTTACTAGATTCACTTTATTCACTCTCAGGCTAGTTTTCACTTCCAGCTTCAACACCTGACATGAAACAACTGTCCTGGCCATAAATCTGGGCTGATTTATAGCTGATTTATATCCAGATTTGATTTGACACAAATTGAGATCACTGAAGAAAGTTTGAGGACATGCAGAGCCTAAATACAATAAACTTTATATCCTCTTGGCCAATAAATAAAATGACTTTCAACCAGAAAAAAAAAATTGGTTGACATTTCTTAACATTTTTGAACAATTGTGAAAACTGTGCCCCATTAGAAACATGTACAGATGCAAACAGAGAAATATGATTAATGAGAATTAAGCTCTGCATGTAGGCTCAGTAATATCCTCCACAGCAACACAAGCTGAATCCATATAAGATCTCAGTCCCAGTTCCATTACAGCAGTGCTGGCACAGTACCTGGAGCAAATACTGTGTGCCCTGCCTCATATCCTCAGCAAACACTGGAGTGTAGAAGGCTTTGGTCTCATTCTTCAGCAGCCATCGCTGGTACCGTGACTGGTCTGTGGCCAGATCTTTGAAGTTTGGTCTCCTGTAGCCCTGGGAAGGAACATGCACAGACACAAACACTCTTACACAGAAAATACAACTAATCCCGAAGTCTTACATTAAGCATGTTAGAGGTTTGAAGCAAATGAAATGACAGCACAGGTAAATCTGTAGGCTTTCATTTTTTTAAGGTCACAGAATTCTTAATTTTACCAGTTTTTGACCACAGACTGAAGAATTCAACCTGCAGAACAAAGCCTGGCTTTGAATCTCTTTATCAGGGAGTTTGTTTATTTCTGGAGAAAATAGTTCACAGAGCTGTTCTTCATCCAGGAAACTGTAATGCCATTAGTTGGGAATGTTTACGCCATTTAATATGCTCTGAGCTCTTTCAGTCCTAATGGAAGCAATAGAAGCAGACAGGAGGGCAGATCAGAGGCCAGTTGTACATGGTGGTGTGTTCCACAGAGCCAGAGCTGCTGGACTGGACAGAGCCTGCATTCACCCAACCATAATAGCCTTTCCATTGTGAAGTGGTTATGCCTGGCAGGGGATCTGTAAAAGGCCTTTTACACTGTGTATACAGGAGTGGAAAATACTCATGAACCATATCACTACTATGGTTCACTTATGTGCTCTAAGATGACAGAGAGAGTTATACTGTGCCAGACAAAGAAGTCAAACAACTGTGATGATGCTGAAAAAAAAATCAACCGGACTAGATTTATAACGACTCAGTTGTTACGAGACATTGTTGGGCATCAAAGGACTGAAACACCACCGATGGGGATAAATATCTCCTTTACAGACTCAAGTAACAGATTTACACATAGCTGGTGTAAGCCAATCCAGGGGCTCACAGACTAAAGCAAAGCATCTCTTTTTGTTCAGTCGCTAGTCAATAACATTAGCCTTTGTGAGAAAAACTGTTTGCAAAAGTACTTGAAGTAGATTTAGTCAGAGCATAATATGATCCTTTAAAATAGATACTGTATATGACAGCTGGTGTATCGAGAGCACAAAAGGTTAAAATAGAGAGGAATTCCGATTATAGTTTCAGTTCATACAAATACAAACATCTCTAATGACAAGGTTGATTACTGTTAATTGTGTGACAGGGAGTCAACATGTTGGCATTATGTAGTCTGTCTCAGAACTTCATTTCAAAAGCATCTGCAGCATTTAATTAGATGCTTTCATCAATAACATCATGTTTGTCTGACTCCGAAACAATTTAGGACCATTAGTGGGTTTTTAGAAAATGTATTTAATACCCACAAAAGGCAAAACAGGGCAGCAGTGGTTAGCGCCATTGCCTCACAGCGAGAAAGTTCCGGGTTCGGGCCCCACCTGGGACCTTTCTGTGTTGAGTTTGCATGTTCTCCCTGTGCTTGTGTGGGTTCTCTCCGGGTACTCCGGCTTCCTCCCACAATCCAAAGACATGCAGCTTAGGTTGATTGGTGTCTCTAAACTGCCCATAGGAGTGCGTGTGTGTGGTTGTTCATCTATGTGTTAGCCCTGCAATGGATTGGCGACCTGTCCAGGGTGTACCCCGCCTTCACCCGATTGCCGGCCGGGATTGGCTCCGGCCCCCGCCGTGACCCCGTTCAGGGACTAAGCGGTAGAAAAATGAATGAATGAATGAATGAAAAGGCAAAACAACAACAAAGTATCTGCTCACCGTGCGAATATGACCACAGATCATCAGGCCTACATTCTTGGTAAAGCTGTGGACCAGGTCCAGAAGTGCTGGTCGAGAGTTAGGGTAACCAGTCATCACCAAACACTGGGGTCTACAGTACAACACATTTAAGAGAAAACACCACACTGGCATCAATGTCAGTTTTTGCTGTATAACCTATTTAATTTAACAAGTTTAATAGTAATCTTGTGCTATGACATTTACAACATTACTTGCTTTTAAATGTGCAACCACAGTTTCTTGTGACCTTTACAGTGGCCTCTAGTCTTCTTAACACCGGACAGAAAAATCTGAAGCAGCGTAGCGCACATCAAAGCAAATATGTTAAGCACCATGGGATTTAATGGAGGCGGTGAGAGGACACAAAGAGCTAAGAGGAACACACCATCCATCCTGAAGACACCTTCAGATGCCTTTTAATCTCTTGCTTGGTTTGCTGCCATAGGAGCAGTCCAAAGGCACATTGTTACTATCACATCTTCAAACCCACCACTGCATCATGTGAGTGCATGTGTATGTGTTCACAGAATAACGGTGAATGGTGAATATAATATTGGCTTCTTGTTGTTAAATAACAGAATAAGGGACATCAACAAAAATTATACCAATCAATTCAATTTGATGAACAATTATTAGTCTAGCAGTGATACTTTAGTTTTATTCTTTAAGAGGATCAAGATTTATTTTTGCCTTTCTTTGAATACCTGCTTGTTTATCTTGGTCTCCTCTGCTCCTATGTAGATATAAAAGGCTCAACCTAAGCTAAAGAAAATATAAGAATTCCTATTTTCTGGTAATTGTTTGTTTTTAATCATTTGTTTTTAACAATTATTTGAGTGATTCAGTGTTGTCATCTAGAAACTTACACAGGAATCATATCTTATCATATTGGCTTATGTTGTTTTGTCTGTAACCTGAGACGCTGCCATCTTGCCTGGGTTTCCTGGGGAAAAAAACCTCAACGGGTTGTTTTTTGTTTGTTTTTTTTACCCTGGTTTTTAAAGTTCAAAAAGTTCCCCCACAGAAAAAAAAAATACTGAGCCGCTTTTCTATTTACTGAGAAACTTGTAGAAAATCTGTCAACTTTGTTCAAGGCATCTATGTATCCTACTGCATGTCTAAATTACAGACTGCATAATTTACAGTATGTGACCACAGTATGTCAGTTGTTAGCCACAGTTTGACAGTAGGCATACTTTCCCTTTGAGCTATAACCTGATAATATACCAACCCATTTTGACAAACACTGAAAACTGAAAAGAAAGTAGTAATCTAATCATCTAATGCTTGGTTTTCAGCTCATCTACTTGTTCTTTCATCAGACATTTCCTGAGATAAATCTACATTTGAAACTAGTATATCAACTACAGCAACATTCTTTATTTCATAATTAAGCATTTAACATGTTACACTGAAAGGGTTACAACATGCTCATACTGTTGTATTAGCACCAATATTTTTAAAATGTTTCTCAGCAGCCATACTAATATATATCTAATCTAACATAAAACAGCTCCATAAAATTCTAGGAAATAAGCTGAAGCATGGCACATGTATGAATGACAACATACATGCAGTATGTATTGAATGTACATTTGAGGTTTAGGTGAAATTTGTGGTCATAGCTGTAACCTCTCACATAATAGCCATAAATGTCACATATCACCACCTAACACGGTCAAATAAGGTGATTGGTGTCAGCATGGTGTGGTGACAGCTACAGTGCGGTTCAAAATATTAGTCTATAGCTAATGTTTCAGTATTCTAACAAGTGACCTGATTAGTCCAGCAATATAACAAACAAAATCAGGACAAAAATGGCCATCTAACACTTTTAAACTTACAAGATTGCTGGATTTTGTCATAAACATACTGGCTTAAACTACAGGTGTGTTTAGTTAGTTAGTAAGGCTCCTCCTTTGTGTTTGGTACCTGAAGTTCTTGATGTGGTCCTCCACTCCACTGAGGTGCAGAGTGTGGGTCAGGGCCTGGTGGTAGGTCAGAGCCTGAGTCGATGAGCCCCAGTTCACATCTGGAGTGGAGAACACATGCAGGCAGAAACACACAGTGTAATTAGAAGAGTGTTTATAGGTTGTCCTGCTGGGCCAAAGGCGGTCAGACCCATGTGGTGTTACAGGCCGCCTATGTGATTGTAGCTGCAAGTCAAACTGAGTGTACATACCAATAAGGCCAACTTGTGTTTGAAGAGGTGCAAGGATGTTCAGCATAATGTAGTTGTGTGACATATTAATTACAAGTATTTCTTTATATTTATTCACTTTTGTAAACTGTTAACCATCCAAGGAGACCAAGAAAGGAGGCATGGTTCCAGAGTTAAAACAGTCGAAAATCCTACTTAACTTGTATTGTTCTATAGTCGTCACATTTCATACACACTACAAGTCAAAAGTCTGGACACACATTTATATTCAATTCACTGGGAAAGTGTATCCAAACCTTTGACTTGTAGTGTAGTAGTGTGCCCTGTGTCACATGTATAAATAAAAAATAAGACAAAGATGTTGTGATTTCATGAGCAGTTTGGTGCGAGAGCTCATTCTTGACAAACAGCATTGGTGCATTGACTGAAATCTACTATCATAGGTTTTATAATTGCCCCTTCAGGTTATTATGATATTTTTATGGTTTATCTACAACATCTAACTTTCACTTTACTTAAGTTTTATTTATTTTGTTCTAAAACAGTAGTTTGTACCATATGTATAAAACACCAAAGTTTGAAATTCATAAATTCTGTTGAACAGTGGCTGGAAACAAGAAATGCCGTCATGAACTCATGGACTGAATACTTAGTAACTCACCTGGCTTTTTATAACTGACATATATATAGAGACCCAGAACAATGACGTTGGTGAGGAGAGCAGCCCACCAGTTGATTACAAACATCACCACACAGCAGAGAATGGCTCCAGCAAGAGAAACCCACATGTTGTAGTATTTGAAGCTGGGACGCCACCCTGCAGCACCAACGAATACAAGTTACGCCATGTGACAAAAGGCAAAGGACATTTAAAACCATTATTAAAACAAGTCACAGTGGTAGTCACATACTGTATGGGTATTACAATGTTTCCATAATAATGAATATGGTAAACTGAGAAAATGCACTTTATGTTAAAAATTGAGCAGAAGTTCAGATGGTTAGACTCCTCAACTGGGACCAAATTACATTAATGAATTGAAAATACTAAAAATTTGGAGACATGGTCATCCTCCATGAACCAAAACGTTTTCCAATAATCTTATTTAGAAAAGTGGTTTAAAAGTTTTAAAAATTAAAATTTAAAAACATTTTAAAAGTTGTATTTTATCTAATTTTTCTCATTTTTGTTCTGGATCAACTTCAAGAGCACCTTAAGGCTTTCTGGATTTGTTTGTCATTTTAGATCGCGAGGCCTTTTCTGTCTTTTTGCAATCTTCATTATTAACGTGGTTTTATCATAGTAAATTTGCTGTTAAAGAATATGGATAAAGTTGAGGATGGATTTGTGCGTGGGTTAAAGAATGGGAGATAGCAGCCTGTTAGACTGAAGACCAGCATGTTATACCAGCTATTAGGGACCATTTATTGGGTACCACAGAAACTAGACTAGTGGAATTTTAGTAATGGGACACAGTTGGATTTTGTGTAGTTACACAATGACAAAGTCTAAAACAAACCACAGGACATAAAGGGTACATTGATTGTGCAGTTCCTCTCATGTGTCCTTGACACTGGGGAGAAACTGGCTTTGAAGAGGCCAGAACAGCAAATGAGGTTTGTTTGTGGCTGCAGATGCAGCAAAATCCATGACATAATGTCTGTATTACTGCTGGCCTCTATTTGAGTCATGTACCATTTAAGTCCGTGTAATTATATGACCTGCTTTAAGGAATTAGAAGCAGATAAAGAATGTGTACCTGGAGTTCTGCTAGAGCTTTGGTATTGAGGGGGAAAAAGCACAAAGCTATATGAAATATAATATATTAAAAAAAAAATCAACTACATGCATTTCAGTGTTTCATCAGCAGCATTCATTATACAGTGTAAAGGGTCAGTTCTCCCAAATTACAAAAATATTAAACATTATCTCACTTACCTTTTTTGATATAAATGCATGCAGACAATGTGGGTTTCATTTGTGCAGGTCTCGAGATACAGTATGTGTGTCTGAGACTTCTGGCTAATCCAGCAGTTTCAGTTTAGGCTTTGATTGTATTTTGTTGAATCCAAACCTAGTATCAGATCTTCCTATCGAACAAAATCCTTTCCAATACCTTATCAAATCTGGCTTTCACCTGTTAGTAATTACATTTATAATCAACTAAAACTCAAAGATTGAGCATTGATCTGTTATAAGCTGAAAAGCCTGCAACAGTTTTGAGTGGAAGCCTCATTAATTTTGACAAGCTGCAGCAAAAAAAAAAAAAAGATGCATTCAACATTTATGTCTAATGGTCAGATATTGTTTTCTTTGTGTTGTATTAATTACCTGCATTGAATATTTCCTGCTATGTATATTGACATACTAAACATTCCGACCTACATCTAATCTGCCTGCATTTAACCACTTGTTTGGATGCTTTTGTTTTACCTTGTCTTGGTGTTGTATTGTTTACTGCCATTTTAATGAATAATTCAACATCTGGCTAAAGGACAATAGTTGAAAATTTGCCTTTTGGCTCACAATGTCATATTTACACCCATGTTCAATGTCTGCTTGCAAAAAATATTCCATGTGAATGATCATCTGACTGCTGCAGTACACCTTAATTTCTACATCAGATGCTGTGTGTGTCTGATATGACATCTGAGTGAACTGTCTGAGAGGCTCTAAGCTCTCTGAAGTACACTACAGCTTACAACATGCCTAAGGGCTTCAAGTAATTCCTTTTGAAACCCCATCACTTCTTATCACAATCACTGTTAAGGACCATATTACTTGCAACTGGCTGGAACTGCTCAACTGATAAGAATCAGACAATGGCTGATAAGCTCCTCTGTTGTCTTAACTTTTCAATATAGTGCATTCAATCAATTTTAATCAGTTTTTCTTTCTTTCTTTTCTGGGTCTTGATCTTACCTGGTGAGTTTGCCAGTGAAGCATGGAACACAGAGAAGTTGATCAAGGCATAGGATGCCAAGAAAAAGTTGGAGATGATGGGGGCAATTACGTTCAACTCAGCTGAAATAAGAAAATATCAAACAGTCAACTCAGAATGGACTAAAACCCCCACAGATTGACATTTGGTAGAACCATTCATGGTCCTCAGAGTAGGGATCCTAATGATTCTCAGTAACCCTGCCATCTATCTGCTCCACCTGCTCAATGTTGGCTAGGATTGGCTCCATGCCCCTGTGGCCCTCTACAGCAGGGCTGCCCAATACGTCGATCGTGATCAACCAGCCACACCCAATATTGAATGTTTAAGCAGTCATGAATGAAAGAGTTATTTAATCATTGGTGTCGTGCCAAAAATGTTGTTTGCCTAAACAAAACTCTTCAGGAATATTATTTATTACACATGTAATTCATACTGGGAATTCTTTAAATTGTTAGAGATGAATGAAAACTGAACATAATATTTGAAATTGGCAAGGCAGGTTTATTTATATAGCACATTTTCAAACATAAAGGCATTTCAACGCTCTTAACACAATGCACAAAATAGGTGTGTAATGGCACAAAAAAACAAAAACAAAATCACGGTTTGGTACGTACCTCTATTTTAAAGTCACGGTTCGGTTCGCTTTTGGTGCAGTAAGGGAAAAAAAAATACAAGTCATAAAGAACCTTGTCATAATTAACCTATTAACTTTTGTAAACAGTTTATAATTTTTAATGGAACATAAATAAAATATAAACAAAAATAAAAGAATAGAAAAATAGAGTAGTACTGTAAACCACTACTAATGCTATGCGTCACACTGGCCATGACGTTCATTAGCCAGAGGTTTGGCTAAGCTAAGTGTGCTCCTTTGTGTTTATATTGCTCCAGTCTGCCACTTAATATGTTCGTGTGGGAACATGTTTTTGAAGATAATTGTTCCACATCCAAAACACGCCTACTGTTAACTACTATTAAAGATTGCATTTGGTACATCTAGACTGGTGACCTGTCTGGAGTGTACCCCGCCTCTTGCCCAGTGTCAGCTGGGATTGGCTCCAGCTCCCCCATGACCCTGTTTAGGATAAGCGGTATAGATAATGGGTAGATTTGTGGTGTAACAACCACTACAGCCTCTAGGATTTAAAAAATGTAGTATTAAGTAATGTTTACTGTGCTCTCGTACACTACCAACACCTAACTGTCTGAGTACAAATGAGAAGTGTGTGCAGCTGTACCGATCAGGATGAAGGCCAGAGCAATACCGAAGGTCAGAATATAGCCTCGGAGCGGCTCATTATTCTTGCCATAGCCTTTGGCAAAAATGCTCAGACCAGGGTAGATATTGTCCTTACATAAAGCCTACAGAAATGGAAAACATAAAATGTTAGAGCTTTAGTTGCTCATGACAAAAAATAAATAAATAAATAAATAAATAAAATAATAATAATAATAATAATAAATATTAACTACAATCCAGATCTAAAAATGAATTGTGTACCGTTTAGGTGGGTCTTACCTGAAAAACTTTAGGTGCACTAACTAAAGAGGCCAGAGCTGAGGACAGAGTGGCAGAGAAGATTCCTGCAGTGATGATGGGCCCAAAACCAGAAACCAGACTCATCACCTGAACAGATTAAATACAAACAGAATTGTCCGGTTTTTGTACTTAACAATCTGAAATGTTCCTAATACTATTCATGCCTCCTCTTCTGATAGAGCTGCTTCATACCTGGAAGTCATTATGGAGTCCAAAGTGGCAAACATTGTTTTCCCTTTTGCAGGAAGAGAAGTCATAGCCAAATTTGCAGGCAGCACCAGTGCAGTTCATCATAAACTGAGAACTGACTGTGTCATTCACATTTCCACTAGCGTCTCTTACAATACAGGAACCTATAAAAGTAATATGTAAATATTACAATTTTTAATAAATTAGATACACTGGAAAAATAAAGTATAACAGAGCTACAGGGAATATGAAAAGTAAATACTACTGTACCTGCTGAAACAGCAACACCCAGATAGACGATTCCTGTGATCAATATGGCCAGAAGGGTTCCCCTGGGAATGGCTAGCTGTGGGTCCTGCAACAATCAACCACACCACAGATGTAAAACAACTAGCAATCTGTAACTGCACAAATGTTTTAAACCTTTTCAATAAGCGTTTTTAGATTACATCATCATTCATCTGACAACCACACTGAAGCTCTTCAGCTCAATCACCATTTCTTATTTCACTATTATCAACAAAGTAAATCAAGCACTCAGATTCTCCTCCATAGAAGAGTTTACACAGACATAGGACTTCTTGGAGCTTTAGTCCAATGTATTATCTGTAGAAATCCCTTGAGATGCATCGTCCCCTTTATCACGGGGTTTGTTTTGTTAATAATTACAGGTTAACTTACAGCGAGGTCTCCTGAAATATTAGCTCCAGCCAGAATACCAGTGGCTGCAGGGAAGAAAATGGCGAAGACAGAGAAAAAGGTCTCGTCTCGGAAGTCTGGAACCATGTTTTCCCACATGAGTGAACCTGACAGAAAAACAGTGTGTTGATACAATACAGGCAGATGGGCAAGCCTTCAGTACCAGCACTGTTTAAGCTCCCCTCAGCTCTCACGGTTATGAGGTTGTACAGATGTTAATTCTGCCTTAAAAGAAGTTTCACTTAAGAAATCAGGGTGTGTCATACCATCATATCCAAAGAAGCCCATGTGTTCCTTTGAACTCATAGGAATGAAGGTTCCAATGAAGTAATTCACGATGGCTATAATGAGGACAACAAGTAAGAAGATCTGGGCCTGTAGAAAAGCAAATTAACCAGTGCATTACTCACCACTGATCTCTTGAATTAATCATAATATGTGTCTGAAATCAGAAGGGGTTTTTTTAAAGACTGTTGTGAGATTCTTCAACAGGACAGTGTTACCCGTCACTGCATCAGATCAGATCCTGTTCATACCTTTGCCTCCCATTCCATGCCTGCCACAGAGATGCCCAGGAGAACGATTACAGTGATTGTGCCAATGATTCTGATATCGTTGATTTTATCCGTCATGTTAGCTTCTACATTCTGAGAGACAACACAAGAGGTTCAATAGATTGAATAAAAATGCCTAAAGTGCAAACACTGGAGTTCTTTACAAAGTTACTTGATATACAAAATGCTCTATATAACAGTTCAGCTGAAGTCGAGTGATGGGGAGGTTTTGCATGCTATTTACTTCTTAAAGGTTGGGTTCACAATTTTTTGTACAACTTAAAACAATGATTAGGTTGTGCTTGCTCTCAGCATTCTTCCTGTTCCTAGTGCCCTTTAAAGCTACTCTACACAATTTCTTTTCAGTAAGCCTGGATTTTTTTTCAGTACGTAGTATGTCAAGTTCAGACTCCCCTACTTGGGAGTATGGACTTGGTAAGTTCGAACTTTAAGTACAAATGGGAGGACACACTACTCTCATTTGGAACATCAGCGTCTTGACAGACTAGTGTGCTCTGAACAAGCTGTAGCTGCCTGCTCATTATAGCTAGTTGGTCCATTAGCATGTATTGGCATCTCCAAAAACTGAGCAAATTTCCAAATGGACATTGTGATAAACTGACCACATATTCTCAATCTAAGTGGTCACTTGTTTGCCTGAAAAACATCAAAACTTTATAAAGTGGTAGACAGACAACACACTCTTT